CTTGAACTTGTGATCCTCCTGCCTACGCCTCCCAAATTGCTGGGATTACAGGTTCGTACCACCATGCCCAATGGTATCTAATTCTTAAAGACTCAAAAGGAATCACATGATCAAGGGCCAACCAGAAATGCTGGGTTTTGTTGAAAATAAAATAGTGTATTTCTATGCTATCAATAGGAACTTACCATACATCTAACAGATAAATATTTACTTTTCAATGAAAAGGTTATGGATATGGAGCAAGCATAGAATACAACATAAACAGGATCAGCTATGGTCAATTCAAAAAGCTTTGCGTCCAGATACATGAAGCAAAATAAAAACTTCAAGTATGGAAACCATTTCAGACTTACCCCAAGCTTTTACAGTCCTGCTTTTAGAAAATGTTTGGAAGGTAGAATCTGCCTTGCTAATAGTTCATAGGTTCAGAAGCATCATAGCTTATTTTTCTCTGAAATGTACAAATAATTTCATCCTTTTGTTGCCAGCTTCTGGGAGTCCCAACTTGGTTTTTCAGAAGCTATAAACAAAATAAATGGGAGAAAACAGAAAGCATAGTCAGTGCACTAAGCAAGTCAGAAGGTTCATGGTATGTGGGTTATAAATGGATCCATAGACTGAACCAATGAACCAGTAACCCAGGAAGATGGGGTACAATGCTGGTCCCTAGCGTTCAGGATGGGAATGCCAGAAAAGTGAAGTGAGAGTTCAATATGTATCCCATCTTTATAGGCTCCAGGGAGGGAACCAAAATATTTTGGGCTAACTCATTGGAGTGCTTCTCCCTGCCAGCAACACCCCTAGAAAGAACAGTAAGGCAAAATCTGAGCCTAGACTCCAACCAGAGAAGGAATGGATAAGGGAAGTTTCCTTCCCTACACTCCTCTTAACTCATAAAGGAGATAAAAGAAAAATTCTGAGATGCCCTAAATTTAATTATGAGGGTTGGAGGATGGAGACAGGAAGAGAAAAAGGCTATGTAATATTTTCATTTCATATGTTAGAATCTTAACTTAATCACATTACATACAAACTCAATGACTGTTATCCCCAACCTATCTAGAAGTCCTTCTCCTATGGACTACCTTCCTATCCTAAAGCTTCACCATCTTGCATAATCACACTCCTCTTTATCTATAGCCAAGGTAGTTTCAATGTAAACAATTTATGCTGTCCTTCTCCAATTTTTCCTTATTAAAAAAATTCTTTGTTCTGGTTGGACATATTTCCAACTGCTATCTAGCCCTGCTACTGGCAATTACTGGAACTTATCCCAGGACCTGGTCCTTTTTCTGGCTAATGGATGAACAAATCCTTTTACATCAGAGATGCCTCAGTCTAGCTGAACACAGGGTTCTTTAAGTTTCAAAGATGACAAGAGGGACCCAAAGACTTTTCTAAAGAAAGACACAGGCATAAAAGACACTCTCTCCACTTCCTACATCCTGATTGTAACACCAAATTATAAGGATCATTTTATTCTGCATAAAACTTAACAATTTTAGTGGACAGACTGTTGGTTTTACCTATAGTAGTACTAATTTCTTTGTATCAATATGCATGTTTCTCAGTTTTAAATAAAGGTATCTATCTTTGGTGAACTCCTTAGGATTTACAGAGTAGATTTTACATTAGGCTTATTTTCAAAATTCTAGCATTGTAGTAGTTAATCCCTTAGCTTGAACCACCCCCATTCACATAGATTCACAGCAGGCCAAGCTCTTCCCTTGGATCACTGCTAACTTCCTCATGCTCTAAGAATTTCCTCTTCTAACACAACCAATTCAACACTTTTTTTTTTCAATAGTGTTGGAGATTGAACCAAGGGCCTTGCACATGCTAGTCAAGTACTCTACCACTGAGCTACATCCTCAGCTCCCAATTCACCAGTTCTACTCCACTCCTACACACCATTACCCTCTCCTTCCCCCCACCAAACACTCCAAGTAAAATATCTTTAATTAGTAAGGATCAGAGGGAAAAGACAATTCAAGGCATCTTTGAGTTACCTTTCCAATTCCTCCCTCTTTTTTAGGCACCCCAAGTCCCTGCTCACCCAAAACTGCCCTTGAATCTCTAAAGCAGTTATTCCTAGGTTGAACAAAATTCAGCCCTTTCTGGTTCCTACTCCCTGAGGAGCATGCCAAATCTATCCAAGTACTCAGCAGTTCTAAAGCCTTCCATCTTTTAAGACCCTCTCTTCATATTTTTAAAGCCAAAAGATTGTAGTAATTCTCTTAAGCCACATTTCCAGCTTCATGCTTCTTCCCAGTGCAAAGCCAGGAGAGCAGGGTCTTCTCATCCATATTTACTGAACTGAATTACTAGACTGCTGTTCCAACTGTTTACCATTTCAAACCCAACACTGACTGTCTTTTCTCGGAGTAGCAAGGTTACTACATAATAAAAATGCCCTCCCCTCCTAAGGCAACTATTGTCAATTACTTCATTCTTTCCAATTACTGTCAATAAACCTTATGAACTAAAAACCAAGTGAAAACCTCACACACACAAAAACTCTCTCTCTCTCTCTCTCTATTAAGATTAAGAAGCTAAGTTTCAAGAAGGTAAAAGTAGTTGCCCACATCCTTTGCATAACAATTTTTTAAAAGTTCTTAGGATGTATGAGGTTCTGTGAGAAGTATGTTACTTGCAAAATCTATTTTAATCCTTGCAAAAGTATGAAAAAAAAATAGAACTGTAATCCCTTTTTATAGTGAGTAAATACACTTAAGTTAAAAAAAATAAAATTTCTGGCTCCCACTACAAGACTAGTAAGTGATACAGCTGTGATTCAAGCCCAGTCAGACCATATTCAGAGTTCAAGCTGTAAAAGGATAACTAAAACAAACAAAATAATGTATTTCTCATACAAACATAAAAATAAATGGCTTCGATTAATTTATTAAGTAACTGGGGAACAAATAAGATTTTCCAACTGGTTCAAAAAAGAATCAGAAGAGCAAACGCTTACATAGCCAGTGGAGAATACTGAAATAAATTAGCTTAAAACATACAAAACTGGCTTCTTCCAAATTAGAGCGAAAGAAACCAACTGTACTTCCAACCAATGAGCTTCCTTTGCACATCTAAGGACAAGAACAATTTACGTTGCCATCCATATTTTACAACTTAAAAAACTATGAAATAAATCCAAAGCAATGAAAGCTACAGATCCCAGAGAATCTGAAAACCAGGAAAACAGTTCTAAGTAGCACTTAGGTTTCTGCTGGAGGTACTTAGGAATCCTTTTGTTTCATTTCAGACTTTCTCAAGTTTTCCTTATACAGATCTTAAACACTCTGCATAATGTCTTTTCTCTTCTTTTAGATAAAGATCCACAGCTTCAAGATCTCTGACAAGAGGCTGAGGTACTCATAGATCAGCGGTAGAGCACAAAAGTTTTGAGGTCCTGAGTTTGATTCCCAGTACTGCAAAACAAAACAAAACAAAAAAGATCTCTGACAAGCACTAGAAAAAAAATAGTTCTCTCCATAAAACTCATCTTTCACAAACACATACTAAGCCAGAAATTTAATTTATTGTGAATTTATATCTACATGCAGAAATAAATTAGGTCACAGGATGGTCAAGCCTCTGAAGAGATCAAAAACTAAAGAGGGTTTGATTTTACTGAACAATGATTGGAGAAACAGAACTGCTGTCTGAAGAATGAAACACAGTTAAATTGTTATTTTAAAATAACCAACCCAAAACAACTTAGTGTCTTTCTAATCAATTAAACGTCTTAACTTTTACCCTATGGTTTCTTCAATAAAAAGGCAATTTCCACTTTCAACAAGATCAAACAGATGGACCTTTTCCTACTGCTCTAGGTAACTACAATGGAAAAGAGTGGCGGCGATCATACATAAAACAAACATGAGAAGACTGAAGGAGAGAGAAGGCAGACCAGCCAGGGACTTGGGACCCATGGAACAACACTTCGGTGGGTTCCCTGGTTTTCTTTTTACATCATATACCACAAAGAGCAGAAGAAGCCAGGAATGCAGAAAGATAAATGGGGGAAGACAAAAGACCACTTTGGTTCTCTTAAGACAAAGGACTAAGAAAAGAGCAACACAGCAAGACAGAAAACTTTCAGGTAATAAACTGAATTCCAGTCCAAGAAAAAAGTTAAAGAAAAAATCTGTGGCCACCCACGCCAGGCTTCCAATTTTCTCCAATCCCTGCCCCTGCCATAAAGTGACTGTGGAAACCACCTGTAGGGTCTGTATTTCTATCCATCCCACTGGAGTGGTTCAGAGGAGCCCTAAGCTTTCACCCCTGCCCAGGGGTAACAAGGTCATCCCCTCCCAGTGGTGTCAGCAAAGGCCACATACAGGACAGTAATGAGACAGGGTTGAATCATGGAGGTCTAAAGAGGAGCTGAAAATCCCACCCCTACCACCAAGAAGTCCTGCTTTTTGTTAGTGGACCAACTCCTCAAAAGCACAACATAACACAAATTACCCAAAATTAAATAGATAATTTGAATAGCCATTAACTATTAAGGAAACTGAACTTATAATTTTAAAGTTTTAAAAAAAAAAATCTGGCCCAGATCACTTCATCATAGAATTTTATCAAATGTTTAAAGGAAAATTAAAGCCAACTCTCTTAGGAAACAAAAGCTGAATTGGAAGCACTTCTCTATCCATTTTATGAAGTTTGTATTATCCTGATACAAAAAAAAACAGAAAAAGACTATGCAAAAGAAAAATATCTACAGACCATTACCTGAAGATAGACACAAAAATACTCAACAAAGTATTAAAAGAATTCCACAGTATATTAAAAACTGAATTTAATCAGGGATATAAAGCTGGTTCATTCAAACATCAATCTAATCCACCCAAGGGAAAAAAAAATCACATAATCATGCCAACTGACAAGAAAAATGATTTTTAAAAAGTCATTACTTACTCATGAGAACAACTCTCAGAAAATACTGAAATAACGAGGAACTTTCTCAAGTAGATAATGAGCATTTACAATTTACAGCAAACATTATTACATTCAGTGATAAAAGACCAAATGCATAATGCACCCCCACACTCACTACCAGGAATAAGGTAAACAAGTTCATTCTTACCACTCTAATTCAACATAGTATTATAAGTTCTAGCCAATGCAAGAAGGCAAGAAAAGGAAGTAAGTCATACATAAATGAAGGGTCCCTGTCTGCAGATGATATGATGGTTCACACAGACATACTAAAGAAATTTACCCTGAAAATCTCCTAGAACTAAGTTAATTCAGCAAGGTTACAGGTACAAGATAAACACTAAAAAATCAACTTTATTTCACATGAAAAAAAAACCTAGAGTGGGAGAAAAAATTTTGCAAATCCTATGGACTTATATCTAGAACACTGTAAATGGAGAACTCCTATAAATCAATAATAAAAAGGCAAATAATCCAATTAAAAATGGGTAAGGAATATGAATAACATATCTACAAAGAAAAGGTAAAAATGTAAACAAGCATATGAAAACATGCTTGACATAATTTACCATCAGGCAAATCAAAACCACAAGAGGTATCATCATACATCCACCAGGATGATATAACTTCTCCAGAATGGCTCTGATCAAAAAGATAGATAATAAATAACAAGTGTTTGGGGAGAACCTTTAGGCAATGCTGCTAGGATAGTAAAATCATACAGCCACTCTGGAGAACACTCTGGTAGTTCCTCAAAAGGTTAAACATAGTTACCCAATGACCCAACTACCCACTCCTAGATATATATACAAGAATGAAAACTTATAATTATATAAAACTTATACATGAATGTTCATGGAAGCATTATTCTTTTTTATAATTTTTTTTTGTAGAGACAGAGAAGAGAGAATCTTTTTTGTAGATGGACACAACACAATGCCTTTTTTTTTTTATGTGGTGCTGAGAATCGAACCCAGGTCCCGCCTGTGCTAGGTGAGCGCTCTACCACTGAGCCAGAATCCCAGCCCTATGGAAGCATTATTCTTAACAGCCAATAAGTGGAAACAACTCAAATGTCCATCAACTCATAGTGCCAAACCATCTTCCTGCCTCAGCCTCCCAATAAATAAAATGTGCCCTATCTATATAATAAATTATTTGGTCACAAAAAAGAATTAAGTACTGTTACACATGATACCACATAGAAGAACCCTGAAAACACCATGCTAAGTAAAAGACACAGTGGAGAAGATACCACATATTATATGATTCCACTTAGAAGAAATGTCAAAATAGGTACACACAGAGAGGTGGAGCAGACTGGGGTTGCCTAGGGCAAAGGAGAGTCTGGAGGAGGGAGGACTAAGAATTAGATGTCACTTCTAATGAATGTGAGGGTTTGCAGGATAATAAAAATGTTTTAAAATTGATTTTGATAATTATACAACTCAATGAATATACTAAAATCATTGACAATCTCCAAATGGCTGCCTTATAGAAATTGACAAACTGATTCTAAAATTTCTGTGGATTTGCAGGAACTTAGAATATATAAGACAATGTTGAAAATGAAGAACAAAGTAGGACAGGTACTTTCTGTTTTCAAAACTTCCTACCAAACAATGGCAATCAAAATGGTTGGTATTGGGCTGGGGTTGTGGCTCAGCGGTACAGCAGTCGCCTAGCACGTTTGAGGCCCTCAGTTAGATCCTCAGCACCACATATAAACATATAAAATAAAGGTATTTTATTTTACGTGTCCACCTACAACTAAAAAAAAAAAAAATTAAAACAAAAAAGATAGTTGGTATTGTCATAAGGATAGATGCATCAATGGAATAGAAGTGAGATTTCAGAAATATATCCATGAGTCTTTATGCAAATACCACATAGTTCAACAGTTGCACACTTGGATATTTATCTCAGAGAAGTAGTACACTGTCACACAAAGACCTGTACCCAAATGTTCACAGCATATTTATTCCTAACAGCCAAACACTAGAAATAATTCAGATGTCCTTCAATGGGTATTTCCTTATGAAGGAATATTAAGGATACTGAGGAATATTAAGGACAAAAAAAAGAACAAAACTATTGATTCATGTAATAACTTTAATTCCAGGAAATTATGTTAAGTGAAAAACACCAATTCCCAAGAATTGTATACTGTATAACTCCATTTATATAACATTCTTCTAATGACAAAAATGTAGATTAGACTATTTTAATCTATAATTATAGATTCATGTTTACCAGGTCAGGGAAAGGAAGGTTGTAACTAAAAAAAGGGCACAATAAAAAATCCTGTGACAAAATTTTTCTGTATCTTAGCTGTATCAATGTCAATGTCCTGGTTGTAATTACCACTGAGAAAAACTGGGCAAAGGGGTCATGGCATCTCTTTGTACTATTTCTTACAACTGCATGGGACTCTACAATGATCTCAAAATAAGCCTTAGAAAAGGAGAAAGAGAAAGAGAAAGAGAAAGAGAGAGAGAGAGAGAGAGAGAGAGAGAGAGAAAATGTCCCTAAACTCTACAGTTTGACAAATCCAGGTAAACAGAACATTACTATTTCTTTTTTTTTCTTCTTCTTCTTTTATTTATTTCATTTCATTTTTTATTTGAGAAGATGGGGTCTTGCTATGTTGCCAAGGTTGGTCTCCAACTCATGGTGCCAAAGTATCTTCCTGCCTCAGCCTCCCAAGTGCTGGGACTATAGGCTAAGGCCACTGCACCAAGATCTGATTATTACTACTTTCTAAAAGGAGATGGGTAAGAGGAAGAGAAAAAGGGAGAAGAGAGAGGAGGAGGGGAGAAGGAAAGGGTGTAGGAGGACAGGGAAAAACAGAAGGGGTGAGATTTTCAAACATTGTGATTTTAGGAAATTATCAAGTTTCTTTATCTGTAAAGCACAGATTAATATCCAATTCAGTGATGGGCTGAATAACTCAAAATATATCCACACCCCAATCCCTGAAAGACATAAATGTTACTTATGTATGGGGGGGGAGAAACTTATTTATATAAGTAATAACTATTTTTGCAATGGGGGATTATTTTTAAATTATCAGGGTGGGCCCTAAATACAATTCACATAAAGTACATCCTTTTAAGAGGAAGGCAAAGGGAGACTTGACTGCAGACAGAGGGGAGAAAGGGAATGTCACCTTAGAGGCAGAGGCTGCATCGATGCAGCCATAAACCATGGAATGCCAGTTGTCACCAGAGCCTAGAAGAGGTCAGGAGTGACTCTCCTCTAGAGCCTCTGGAGGAGGCAAGGCCCTCCTATACTTCAATCTCAGTTGATTGATACTGATTTCAAAATTTCTTATCTCCAGAACTCTGACTAAATAAATTTCTGTTGTTTTAAGCCACTAGGTTTGTGGTAATTTATTATTGCAGCCATAGGAAACTAATATAAATATCTACCCATCGCCTAGAAATGCTGGGAAAAGTAAATAAGTATGTATGGAAAAGGCCCCTGAGGAGTCTACAGTACAACTGGGAAAATCAGACACAATTTTGGAGTCATTAATTCAAAATAAGAATACAACAGCTCAAATTTTTTAACAGCTAAAAAATTCTAGATTATTTTATATATATCTTTGGGAATACTTATACCTAATGTAAACTCAGTTCTCTGAAGATCAGCCACTCAACAGACAAGAACTATTTATCACAGTAGCAAAAATAAGAGTCAATCTTGATTAACTCTGACTTCTAATATATTTCTTCTCTGAAGGAAAGAGAAGCTCAATTGAACTGGTTTCATGCCTACCATATTTTAACAAAATGAGGTCATTCTGGCACTGCCTGGACTACTCTAGATTATTTCAATTCTCCTTTTCTTCACACTCATTCTTACAAAACAAAGCAAACATAATTCATCCTTTACTTTAATCAATCGGTTTTAATGAACAACCACATTTAAAATACAACTTAAGCCCACCACCTCTTACCAGAGGCTAGACAGGAACCACTGCGCCCCACCTCCTTGGGAGCCAGGAACCACAGCGCCTGCACAAAGAAGAACACCACACTGTGGGTCTCTATCCACCAACCTGTGGCTACACCCAAACCACCTCCATCTTGGGACACTGCAGCCATAGCCACAGCCCTTGTCACATGTAATCTCCACCATGGGACAATGGACAGGGCCAGAGGCAGCTGCCCACTGGAGCACCACACACCACAGTATGCCATCACTGAATAGGCCACCCAACGCATCATACAGCCCATCCTTCCAGCCACATCTCTGAAAGCAGTTACCTCCATCTTGGGACACCTCCACTGCTATCTTGGGTTACCTCCACTGCCACCTCCACCACCTTTAGTTGGGGCAGATTCCATCTTGGGACACTGACTGAGACCTGGAAGTCCAACAGCAAACTATCTACAGTCTTGATGCCACTGCCACCACCAACTAGGGCTGTGGCCGCTTCCATCTAGGGGCAACAACCAGGACCTGGAAGACCATCACCAAGGTCCCTGTGGGCCCATTTGCATCAGAGTATCCCTACTAGATGTGCTGACAGTCACAATCCCGTTGTGGAGGGGACAGGGAGCCTTGCATGAGGTTGCCTCTTTTTTTTTTCTTTTATCTTCTCCTGCTAAACAACCAACTTCTTTTGATTCCCCTTTCACTTATCCTATAATCTAATACCTCTATATTCTTACATGTTGATGATTCTACCTCATCAACATCACATCCTACCCCACCCCTTCTCTTCCCAACCACCACTAGAAACTGTAAACCCTTATGCAAACCTACTGGCTATATGGTAGAAGATAATCGTACTCGTCTTGTGATGGCAAAACTGTCAGTATCTAAATAGAAGCTAATTGATTTATGGCTGTGTATTAGTTGCACTGGGTGCTATAAACATTGATGTCCCCCTTAAAGGTGAGGTATTTGTAACCTGCAGGGTCACTACAAGATTATAGGGTAAAAACTACAATACTGCAAGACAGGAAGACACATAGACAACATGAAAATACAACAGAGGAAAATGCCCCAAACAAACCAAGATACTTTAATAATAGAATCCATTGACAGCTCAGTAGATGAAATAACAGAGAAGGTGTTCAGAATGTACATAATTAAAATGATCTGGGAATCAAAGAATGAGCTAAGAGAGCAAATACAGGCAAAAACTGACCACTCCAACAAAGACATAAGACAGCAAATACAGGCAGCAAAGATTAATTCAAGAAAGGGATAAAGATTTTGAAAAATAATCCAAATAGAAATCCTTGAAATGAAGGAAACAATAAACCAAATTAAAAAAAAAATAGAAAGCATCACCAACAGACTAAATCACTTGGAAGACAGAACCTCAGACAACGAAGACAAAATAAACAATATTAAAAATAAAGTTGACCACACAGTGAAAATGGTAAGAAACCATGAATAGAACATCCAAGAATTATGAGATAACATCAAAAGACCAAATCTAAGATCTATTGGGATAGAGGAAGGAACAGAGTTTCAAACCAAAGGAATGCACAATCTCTTCAATGAAATAATATCAGAAAAATTCCCAAACATAAAGAATGAATTGGAAAATCAAATACAAGAAGCTTACAAATGTACAAAACTACAACAGATCTACACCAAGGCACATTATAATGAAAATGACTAGCATACAGAATAACGATAAAATTTTAAAGGCCACAAGAGAGAAGAATCAGATTATGTATAGAGGAGACCAATACAGATCTCAGCAGATTTTTCAGCCCAGTCCCTTAAGGAAAGGAGATCCTGGAACAACATATACCAAGCACTAAAAGAAATGGATGCCAATCAAGAATCTTATATCCAGCAAAATTAAACTTCAGAGTTAATGACGAGATAAAAAACCTTCCATGATAAAACAAAAGTTAAAGAATTTACAGCAAGAAAGCCTGCACTACAGAACACTCTTAGCAAATATTCCATAAGGAGGAAATGAAAAAGAATAATGAAAATCTGCAAAGGGAGGGAACTACACTAAAGAAAAAGCCAATCAAGTCAAGTTAAAAACCAAAAATAAACCAGAATGACTGGGAATGGAAAACATATTTCAATAATGGCCTAAACTCATCAATTAAAAAAACACAGACTACCAGATTGGATTTAAAAAAAAAAAAAAGACCCAACAATACGCATCCTTCAAGAGACTCATCTCACAGGAAAAACATCCACAGACTGAAGGTGAAAGGATGGGGAAAAAACTTATCACTCACATGGAGCGCATAAACCAGCAGGGATTTCCATCCTCATATCAGATAAAGTAGACTTCAAACCAAAGTTAGTGAAAAGGGATAAAGGACATTTCATACTACTCAAGGGAATCATACCTCAACAAGATATAAATATCTATGCCCCAAACAATGAAGCATCTATGTATATCAAACCAACCCTTCTCAGCTGCAAGAATCAAATAGACCACAACACAATAATACTGAGTGACTTCAGCATACCTCTCTCACCACTGAATAGATCTTCCAAACAAAAACTAAACAAAGAAACTACAGAATTCAATAAAACAATTATTTAGACTTAACAGATGTACATAGAATATTCCACCCATCAACAAGCAAATACATTTTTTTCTCAGCAGCACATGGATCCTTCTCCAAAAAAGACATTATGTCACAAAGCAAGTCTTAGCAAATATAAAAAAACAGAGATATTACCCTGCATTCTATCTGACCATAATGAAATGAAATTAGATATGAATGATAAAACAAAAAATAAAAGCTACTCCAACACCTGGAAACTAAATAATATGCTACTCATCAGGGAGGAGATAAAAAAATTCTTAGAGGTAAGTGAAAACCCTGATACTACGTATCAAAATCTCTGGGATACTATGAAGGCAGTGCTAAGAGGAAAGTTTATTGCATTAAACTCATTCATTAAAAGAAGAAAAAGTCAACAAATAAATGACTTAACATTTCATCGAAAAGCCCAAGGAAAGTAAGAACAAACCAACACCTAGTAGAAGATAGGAAATAATTAAAATCAGGGCTGAAATCAATAAAATTGAATCAAAAGAATTCAAAACATTGACAAAACAAAAAACTAGTTCTTTGAAAAAATAAATAAAATTGACAAACCCTCAGCCACCCTAATAAAAAGAGGGAGAAAGAAAACTCAAATTACTAAAATTCATGATGAAAAAGGAAATATCACAACAGACACTACTGAAATACAAAAGACAATTAGAAACTATTTTGAAAATTTATATTCCAGTAAAATAACATTGAAGACACCAATAAATTTCTAGAGGCAACTGATCTACCCAGACTGAACCAAGAGGACATATGCAATTGAAACAGATCAATTTCAATAAGGAAATAGAAGATGCCATCAAAAGCCTACCAACTAAGAAAAGCTCAAGACCAGACGAATTCTCAGCCCAGATATACAAGACCTGCAAAGAATAATTAATACCAATACTCCTCAAATTATTCCATGAAATAGAAAAGGAGGAAACCTTCCCAAACTTATTCTATGAGCATAGTATCATCCTGATACTAAAACCAGACAGACACAAATCAAGGAAAGAAAATTTCAGACCAATATCCCTGATGAACATAGATGGAAAAATTCTCAATAAAATTCTAGCAAGTTACATACAAAAACATATTTAAAAAATAGTGAAACATGATCAAGTAGTGTTCATCCCAGGGATGCAAGGATGGTTCAACATACAGAAATCAATAAATGTAATTCATCACGTCAAAAGACCTAAAGATAAGAATCATATGATTATATCAATTGATGCACAGAAAGCATTTGACAAAATGCACCCTTTTATGTTCAAAACACCAGAAAAACAAGGGATAGTAGGAACATACCTCAACATTATAAAAGATATCTATGCTAAACCCAAGGCCAACACCATTCTAAATGGAGAAAAAACTGTTTCCAGTTTTTCTGGAAAACATTCCCTCTAAACACTGGAACAAGCCAGGGATGCCTTCTTTCACCACTTCTACTCAGCATAGTCCTTGAAAGTCCAGCCAAAGCAATTAGATGAAAGAAATTAAAGGGATATGAATAGGAAAAGAATCTAAACTACCACTATTTGCTGAAGACATGATTCTATACTTAGAGAATCCAAAAAAATTCCACAAGAAAACTTCTAGAATTAAAAAATGAATTCAACAATGTAGCAGGATATAAGATCAATATCCATAAATCAGATGCATTTCTATACATCAAGTGATGAATCCTCTAAAAGAGAAATTAGGAAAACTATCCCATTCACAATAGTCTCAAAAAAAAAATAAAATATTTCAGAATCAATTTAACAAAACAGGTAAAAGACCCCTACAATGAAAACTACAGAATACTAAAGAAAAAAAACTGAAGAAGACCTTAGAAAATGGAAAGATCTCCCCTCTTCTGAGATAGGCAGAATTAATATTGTCAAAATGGCCACACCACCCAAAGTGCTTATCAGATTCAATGCAATTCCAATTAAAATCCCAACATCATTCCTTATTGATATATAAAAAACAATCATGAAATTTATTTGAAAAAAATAAGAGACCCAGAATAGCCAAGCAATCCTTAGCAAGAAGAGTGAGGTAGGTGGCATCACTATACCAGACCTTAAACTATACTACAAAGCTATAGTAACAAAAATGGCATGGTATTGGCACCAAAATAGACACATAGACCAATGATACAGAATAGAGACAAACCCACATAAAGTTATCTCATATGAGACAAAGGTGTCAAAAACACACATTGGCGAAAAGATAGCCTCTTCAACAAATGGTGCTGGGAAAACTGGAAATCCATATGATACAAAATGAAGCTAAACTCCTCTCACCATGCACAAAACTCAACTCAAAGTGGATCAAGGACCTACGAATTAGACCAGAGACCCTGCGCCTAAAAGAAGAAAAAGTAGGCCCAAATCTTCACCATGTTGGCTTAGGGTCTGACTTCCTTAACAAAACTCATACTATAACACAAGAAATAAAATCAAGAATCAATAAATGGGATTGATTCAAACTAA